AAAAAAAAAAGAAACGTTCCTTATCAAGCTACACACTTCATGCTGTGATATATTGGTGCATGTTTTTGCGAAAAAATTTTCAGTTAAATGCCGGTGACTTCCTTGCACACTTCTACAGAGTGTACCCTTCCTAGATTTCCCCTTCAAAATGCTAATGCAAAGTTTTCTCACCTTTCTTTTTTTACTGGCAGTTACGCTAATCTGAAGGTTATTTTGCAAAAAAAATGTAGTAACCTCGGTGAAAAAACGATCAAATCTCTCCCCATTCTTAGATTCGATACGATCAATTTTTCGCTACAATAATAAACGGTTCATTTGAGAACTGGCTGCTATCCAAACAACAGACTCAGCTGAGTCTACAAAAAAGTGGTCATACTCAGCAAAAAATTAGAAAATATGAAAAACAAAGCTTAATCAAGGCCGTATATTTAGTAAAAATATAAATAAAAAATGAAAAATTTAGGCGCAGCTTGTTTTCCAAGACCTATTAAATGGAAGTCGAATAATCAGTCAATTATATTCGGCGCTGCTGTTAAAGTCCTGCATCCTATAAGATGAATTTATAATAGCTAGGACAGAAAAAATGGGAAAAAATTTTTTACGAGTAACCACAAAAAAATTAGCGATTTTAAGAGATTTTAGGTGAAATTTCCTAAAAAATGTACCTATAATACGTCTCGGACATTTTCACTTGAAAAAAAAAAAAAAAAAAAGGGAAGAAAACGCGAAGAAGGATACATCGAAGTGTAAAAATAAAAAAACTGCTGGCAAAGCCAACATTTTCATTTATGCAACTTGGGGCACAAACATGGCGTGCACCCGAACTGGGCGGAGCTCTGAATGTATCTGCAAGCTGATTCCCAGCCTCTCAGACCCAAGGTCCCAATAAAATCATCAACACACTGGGATGTCTTTCTGGTGGTACCAAAGAAATCCAAGCCTTCGGAAAGACTAGGATCTGTTTGAATATAAATCTCACTTCAAATCAGATACTCTTTAACGAAGGATATATTAAAATTTAAAAAATAGGAAAAATTAAGCTAAATAAAAAATAATTACATCAATTAAAGCAAAATTAAATTAGTACTATACTTACATAGCTTCATAATTCCTTAACGAATATGAAAAAAACATACCAAAATGTAAACATTTTTCAAGAATATTTTAATAAAAAAAAAAAAAGCGGAGCGTAACTTTCTGGGAGCAAGACTTGGCTCTACACTTACTATTAATAATAAATAATGGAAAAACTTCTGCAAAACACAAACCTCACTTTTCTGCAACTCCTAATTCTTTTAAAAAATATGTGCAGTTTATGCTCCTCTTCTGAAAACATCTATTATCAGTTCAGATCAGATTCTGCATAGAGTTTATATCAACACCGATTGTACAGATTATTTATAATTCAAAATCCTGATCTTAACACTGGCGCTACAGAGCTTTCTGTTACTTATGACTGTATTTAAGGGTAATACCTCAAAGCGTTTTGGAGCTTCACTGGGATATCCTAAATATTTCTCTAGTTCCTACAAATACGAGTAAGATGTGACAAATGTACTCGGAGTATCTTCGTCTAAAAGCCGTCCGAAAAGAACCAGCAACTGAGCACTGTCTTAGGCTGCTTGCTTGCAAGCTAAGTTCGTTATCTAACAGCCCGCGTTCGCAAAAAAAACTCTGAAATTTAGGAACCTCTTTCTGTCTCAGTTAAAAAAAAAAAAGAAAAACGACTACATACAAAAAGCTAAGCTTAGATATTTAAATTAATCAGAGTATTCTTAGCCATACTAAAGTAAAAAAAGTCTCCTGCAGTAATCAACTAGTGCCAATAATGTCCGACAGCTGGCGGCATCAACTAGAACGACCAGCAGTGATGACGGCGACGACGATGGCTAAATTTTGACTAAAAATATTGACAATTTGTGCTTGGATCGTATTTCGCAATCTAGCGTGAATTA